CCAATTTGACCATTTACTTTGAAAGGAGAATCTGATTACTGATGCTTTGGCTACTTTGGCTAATTTGGCTGTAATGATTCGAATTAATGACAATACTGACATTCAACCCATTAAGTTAAATGTTAAAGATATGTCAGCTCATTGCTCTAATGTAAAAAAAGAGGAGGATAGGAAACCCTTGTATTATGATATCTTACAGTATATTAAGGATCAACAATACCCAGTTCAAGCAACAGAGAATGATAAAAGGGTCATCTAAAAATTAGCTATGAGCTTTTTCTTGGATGGAGATGTTCTGTACAAAAGAAGCCATGATCAAGTATTACTGAGATACGTAAGTAAAGTTGAAACAAAGAAAATTATTGAAGAGGTGCATGATGAAATATGTGGGGCACATACTGGTGGACACATGATGGCAAGACAGATCATGAGAGCATGGTACTATTGGTTGACAATAGAGAATGATTGCATTGATTATACTCGTAAATGCCATAAATGTTAGATATATGTTGATAAGATCCATGCTCTGTCATCTGCTTTACATGTTTTGAACCACCTTGGCTATTTTCAATGTAGGACATGGATGTCATTGGTCCTATCACCCCAAAGGTTTCTAACGGGCATAGGTTTATTTTTATGATGATATACTACTTCACAAAATCGATGGAAGCAGCATCATTTGAGAGTGTAACACGATTTGTGATCTGTAAGTTTATAAAAAGAGAAATTATTTATAGATATGAACTTTCAGAAAGAATCATTTTAGATAATGCCAAGAATCTAAATAACAAAATAATATAGAAAATATGTACCCAGTACAAGATCAAGCATCATAATTCGATGCCATACCGTTCGAAAATGAATGAAACAGTTGAGGCAGCTAACAAGAACATAAAAAAAATTCTTAAAAAGATGACCAAGACTTATAAATATTGGCATGAGAAGTTACCATTTGCACTGCATGCATATCGAACGTCAGTGCACACCTCTACTAGGGTAACCCTATTTTTTTTGTTTATGGGATAGAAGCTATACTACCGGTGAAAGTGGACATCCCATCCTTGAGGGTTCTAAAAGAAGTTGAATTGGAAGAAGCTGAATGGATTCGAGAACACTATAAATAGTTAATTTCATAGAAAAAAAGAGATTGACTGCATTGTGCCATGGTCAACTATATCAAAAAAGAATGATAAGGGCTCATGACAAAAATGTTTGACTCCATTGCTTTCGAGAAGGAGAGTTGATCTTGAAAAAATCCTCTCAACCCAGCACGATAATAGAGAAAAATAGACTCTGAATTACGAAGTACCGTATGTGGTGAAACGAGCTTTCTCGAGTGGAGCACTAATACTGACTGAGATGGATGGAAATAATTTATCTCATCTTATAAATTTTGATGCTGTGAAGAAATACTATACTTAAAAAAAAGGTAAAAAAAAAAGAAAAAAAAGAATGAAAAATGAGAACTCAAGGCGAAAACCCTAAAAGGGCGATTTAAGTCATAAGGGGTTTATCTAAGTTAAAAACTTGAAAAGACAGCTTAGATAAGGAGAATACAGCATCAAATCTGAAAATTCATTGGCCGAAGGCTAGCAAATTTGGATAAGCTCTAAGTTGTTAAGTGCATCAAATGATTGGGTTTTCAAGAGAACCTCGATATGTGTTATCATGATTGTCTGATTGTTCATTTTTGGGCATTGTCTCCTTATGCCTATTTTTGTAATTTTTTCTTAGCCAAAGTTTGCCAATATTTTTGCTAATAAAAGACATTCTATTTCACTCTTTGTGTGCCTCTTCTGTTGACTGTTTCCAAATCATTCTTATTCTTTTCTTCTTAATACCTTACAATGAAAGAAATGTGTAAATGCATTCTTACTTTTTGAGTTTGAAATAATGATTGATAAATGAACAATGGCATGAAAGATTTTACATTACATTGAAAAAGTCAAGAGTGATAAAGGCAAAATTGATATGTTTAGTTCCTAATAAGGACATTAAATTTGGAAAGAGATTTCTTACATAAAGAATATAAGAATTAAATGGAAGAGAGGATTGAGAGTTACACTGGCTCGATCTTAGAAGAATAGCGTAACTTAGTCTTTGAAGAATCAAGGTTTGAGGCCCAAGAAAAGAGCTTAAGAAACTTGAGTACCATGATTGAATAAGAATTAATTAGAAAACATTTGTATAGCATGCATTGAATTTCACACGCATTACATAGCATATACTACATTTAAGAAAATATAGTGCATAAATTCAAGAAGTAAGGGTATTCCAAAATCTCACATAGAGAATACAGATGTGAAGATATTTTTAAATTTGAAAAAAAACTTGTTAGGTAAATTTTTAATCCTTGAAATAAGATATCTCTCGATATCAGGATTGATTTGTAAGACCTTTGGGTATAATCTGTTAAAATTCTTTCAAACATGATTTTTAACTCCTTTGGACATGATCGTCAATGAGCATTTACTTTCAAAGTTGTGATGACTCTATTTAGAGGAACTTTGTTTATCTTTCCAAAGTCATTGAACCTCTGTTTAGAAGAGCTTTATTTATTTTTCAAAAGTCGTTGAGCCTCTATTTAGAGAAGCTTTATTTATTTTTTCAAAGTCGTTGAGCCTCTATTTAGAGAAGTTTTATTTATTTTTCAAAATCGTTGAGCCTCTGTTTAGAGGAGCTTTATTTATTTTTCAAAATCATTGAGCTTTTGTTTAGAGGAGCTTTGATCAAAATTTTAACAAAAAAAAAAAAAAACAAAAAATATTCAGTTGAGTTTTGAATGAGTGTCTACGTCTTTGCATAATTCCTATTTCACAGAAAATGTGCAAAGAGGGATAGCTGTAGACACCAAATTTGGTCCAGGCCTGAATTAATTAGGCCTGATCTAAATAGGGCAAAATGGCCCATTTTATTTTTAGTTTTATTATTTTTAATTTTATTATTTATTATATATTTTTTTTATCTAATAATATATATTTTTTATTAGTTATCCATTAATACTATTTTTTATTATTTATCTATTAATGTATATTTTTTATATTTATCTATTTTTTTATTTATATGTTCTGAATTTTGTTTTAATTATCATCTTATATACATAATTTTCAGTTTTAGAGGGAGTTTTCTGCCATGAATCAGGGGTTGAAAGAATTTGGATTGGATTCAAAGAATAAATCCTAGTCTAAGAGGGAATTAGGATTGATTAAAAACTCTTTTGATTAATCCCTATAAATAGATATTGAAACAGAACCCAATGACGCACAGACGATAAAAAAACACAGAGAGGTGAAATCATAGGCAAAAGTAGTGTTAGAGGCAGTTTAGAACTTTTAGGAAATTTTTCAAATTTTTTTTGGAGAGTTTTTCTAGAAAATTTTTGGAAAATTTTCAAAATCCGATAAAATTTTTCGACGAAATTCAAGTTTTTTGACCAAAAACTCAGTTTTCGGTGAGAATTCCACGGGTGTTCTTTGTAGGTAAAAAGAAAAAGAAGAAAGCTGAGGGGAAAAGAGAGAAGGAATAGAGGTAGTCTGCGGAAGAAACAAAAGTCAGATCCTTTTATAGTGCTGAAAAATGACGTCGTTTTACGCTTAAGAAAATCCTAGGATCCACACGTTCCCATTCGGGTGACCCGACCCATAGCGTCAACTCACTTCTAACCCAAGTTCGACCCGTGCCTCAGCCGACCTTTTTAGCAGAGTCGAGCCACCAAGCCGTGATTTCTGTCTTGAGTCGAGTCGTTTCCCAGTCAAGCTGAGCCGTTCCAAAAGTTTTATTTATTTATTATTACTATTATTATTATTTCTTTTATTATTATTATTATTACTATTATTATTATTTATTGATTAAATTAGAATTATTTAGTATTTCTTATTTTATTTTTATTTTTATTTTATTTTTTTAAAATGATTTTCTTTAAATAAAATTCCAAAAAAAAAATTTTTGAGGAAAAGTTGAAAGTATCAATTTTTCTTGAAAATATCAATTTTTCTTGAAAATAAGTTTTCTAAAAAATATTTTCGAGGAAAAGTTGAAAGTATCAATTTTCTTTGAAAATAATTTTTTAAAAAAATATTTTTGAGAAAAAGTTGAAAGTATCAATTTTCCTTAAAAATAATTTTTTTTAAAAAAAATATTTTTAAGAAAAAGTTGAAAGTATCAATTTTTTTAAAAATAGAAACTCTCAAATGCTTTTGAAGAAAAGTTAAAAATATAAAATTTTCTTGTACAAAAGCAATGAGTTTTTGAAGAGAAAATGATTTATATCTAAAGTTGAATCATTATTCTTTTTTTTTTCATTTTATTTCTTTTCCTTTCTGAAAATTTTTTAATGTTAAATAATCCGACAATAGAGCCTCTGCAAGTAAAACAGTTGTCTCCTTGCATACTCTTGAGGTGAAGGAATTTTTTCAATTTTTTGCTAAAAATATTATAGTCAATTGAGAATAATTTTTAATAATTAATTACTTGATAAATTTTTAAGGCTTATTGGATAACACAAAATTAAGCTGGTACTATCTTTCGATGGGCGTTGTGAGGGTGCTACAACCTTCTTTACACTTAACCGTACTCCCGAATCCTATTCTGATTAGTAGACCTGAACCTATTCTTTTAAGGACTCTTAGGCTTAGATGTTCCTTAAAAGGATATATTCTTTAGGTGGTCAATCGCACCTAGATAAAAAAGATTGGTGGCGACTTCTCAAATCAATATCTAGCGATGAATCTCTGGATCTAGACGTTATGACATATATATATATATATAATATAATATATATAATATATTATATTGTTTGAATGTTAGTGGTGCATGCATAAATCTATGTGTTTTATTTGACTGATTAAGATGTAAAATTTCCATTCTCAAAATAATGAAATGATTTAATATGCCTACAAAAGGATTTAAAATTTTAATTTAAAAACAGAATAATTTTCCTAACTAGAACTTGCTGCCTAATTTCTAAAATGGGAAATGTTTTACACAGTATATCAATTACATCAAGTATAACATTTGGTGGAGGAAAAACTTGTTGAAATGTCACTAGGACACGAGGAATACAAAGGCATGCTTGGCTTCCAAGCATCTTCCATATTCATGGGCAAAGGCAAACTGAAGGGAAATCCAATGGATCGGACGGTTTCCCATTGATCATCAACATGGCTCACGTTCAGACTTTTAAATAGGGAATTTTCGGGATCTCCATTGTTGATCATGTTCCCTTGCATCTCATCGGGCAATGTCCCTGAGAAGCCATTATCTTGTGATCCACCACCAAAATGTGCAATATCGGAAGCCATACCGTAATCTCCGAACATGGAAGATGACATGTTTAGCAACATGGACGTAACATCAACTGCGGATTTTGCAGTTGATGAGGAGTATTGATCAAGAGGTGCAAAACTAAGGCTAGTTAGGTCTCCATTAGACATGGGAAGTTGAGCAGGCTTCCCTGCAGCCATTTGGGTGATGGGTTTGTAGGGGACAAAGTCTAAAGGAGAAAATACAACAGTAGATGTCTGTAGTAGGTCAGTGTTATGGTTAAACTGGACTGTTGATGAACTGGTTTTTGCTGTCAAGGGTATGTTTTCTGAAGAAAGCTGGGAACTTTTTGTACCTCTACTAGGCATATCAGATACTGATGATGTTTCAGGTAATATTGGAGAAACCCACGATTGAGAAAGAGCTCTTTGAGCTGTGGAGTTGGTTTTCTTGAATATCCTGCATATCGCCCATGAGTCCTGCAAGTATATAATAATCAATCACTGATCACTAAGTTTTCAAGTAATGGTTTGAAACAAGTGGTTTCAGTTTAGATTCTTTACATTGGCAAGAAGGCTTTTGTCCAGGAATCTCTTTGGTGGTACAGAGTCAGTAAGAGAGGGTAACCTAAACTCATGCATCATCCAGTCAGTTTTGACCCCTTTGGCTGCTCTACCTTTGTAGAAAACAAGAGATTTCTTCAAGCCAATGCACTTGGTGCTGTCTGAGGAATAGATGGGGCGGTCAGTTCCAGTGGCCTTCCAAAATCCTGCTCCAGTTACTCGGTTAGGCCTTGCACTATTTCTGTATTTTCTGTCCCTAGGACAGTAGAAATACCACTCTTTCTCTCCAGTGGTTGCCAGCTCTTCATAAAAAGAAACAAAAACTGTTTGTTTCCATTCTATAAACTGAAGATCAGTTTTAAACAGTAAACACTAGAACATATGTATATATAAGATTGACTTACTTGGAAGATCCCATGGATCATATTTATAGATGTCTAGTTGCTTAATCAACTCTATTGAGAGAGGCCGCTGTTGAATCTTTCTTTTCAGATAAAACCCAACAAGCTCTTCATCTGTTGGATGAAACCTGAACCCAGGAAGCATGACTTCTTCCAGTTTATCAGTATCACTTCTCTCATCCATTCTTTTCTCTACTTCCCTGTATATAATAAATCCTCTAGGATAGAATATCAGAAAAACAAAAGTAGATGGAAAGAGACCCAATTTTTTTTTTTGTTTCCTCAAAGTGAAAGTTGAATGCAAAAGCATTAGATGGAAATCAAGTTTCTGAGGAACTATATGTTAAAACCCTAGAGGAAAACTGAAGAGCAAGAAACTTTCTGACACAAGAACAAGTTGACAATGAAGCAAACTTTAAAAAAGGATATGAACTCAAAGACACGAAGTTGAGAGTTAAGTTCACTTAATTTGAAGCCAATATATGCTTCCTGAGAGGGGGTCTGTCCCCGAAGGATCAGCCGCCTTTTCTGGTGACTTTCAAAAGGAGTGTGTGTTTTGCGAGGATCGCGTTGGCTCACCAAAGAAGCCAATGGCAAAGGCTAATAATTAAGACCAAGAAATTAAACCCAAGTCAAGAAAATGGATTTTGTAAGTGACTCTTATTTCAGGGTTTGTTTAATCCAAACCGAAGAATCTCAAGGATGCTACAAAATCAGCAGCATCTGCGGATAATAACATCACTAATAACTTGCAAAATTTTAATGCAAATCTCATGAATTTTTTGGCCTATCCAATGTCAAAATCCAAAATATATTGCAGACATTTTATGGTCTTTGGTTTGAATTATTTTATGGACACATGGACCTGAGCCAACTCTCAATAAAAAAAGCTGAAATATGTATATGTGTGTGTGTGTATATATATATATATATATATATATTCAACTGTAAAATTCCTATGCCAGTGTTTAGGATTAATCTAATGACATTTAGTTTTTCTCTGAATCTGAAAATTCAGTTTCTATTCCATTCTCAGAGCTTCTATTCTACTGACTTTGTCAGATTTTTATTTATATAGTATTAGTATGAGTTCAGATATATGTATATATATATATATATATAACAAATTGATGAATGTAATAATTAATCAAAGTTTAATGCAGAAATTAATTGGGACCACTTGCCCTAACTGGTGTGTGTGTGTGTATATATATATATATATATATATATATACATACACACTAAAAAGTATATCTCTGTTGACCATTTCTGTGAAAAACTCACCTATCTTTCGGAGATACAAAATTCAAACCACTAAAAACCAAGTCATTTGACTTTCTGAATCCTATAGCTGTAGGGCAATTTAAGACCAAAGGCTTTAATTACCAATTATGTAACCTCCATTAGTCGGAGATCAACTTCTCTTGTTAATTTTAATATTGCTATTGCTGCTTCAACTGTGATCATATGTTGACTATATTAATTCCCATTGTGATCTATAAACCATTTCATATGTATTCAGATTAATCTTATGTTTTCTTTATTAAAAAAAAAGCAGATATGAAAATATGAAAATTTACCTTGTGCCTTTTTAAGACTTTCTACAATTGTTTAGATTTAGTAAGCCTATGCATAAGCCTTCCAATGTTTGAATGAAAAAAAAAAAAAAAAAAACAGGAAGTATATATTCGGGAAAGGCGAGCACTCACACACACACACACATATATATATATATAAATATATTAGTTATGATTTTATTCTTAATTACTTACTAGAATTATGATCTTGTAGCATGTTCGCTTTCTTCATCCACAAACAAGGTTAGACTATTATCACATGTTATTACAAGTTACTTGAGATAAAAGATTTAATGGATTAATTTATTCACAAAGAAAAACTTTCAAAACCCTAAATTTCCCTGAAAAAGAAGATTACCATCTATGTATTGATGAAAAAATTACTAATTCAATGATTATGCTTAGTAAAAAAATTTTTACCTTACAAATTAATCTTAAGATTAATAATTTTTCATCTTTATCTCTTTCATTTTTTTTATCAAGCAAATTCTAAATGACTAAATATTTCATTTAGAAATGAACATTGGTATAGCTGATATAGATGAAAACCTAGCCATTGTTTTATTTATCTTTGTTTTTCGCTATTTTTATTAAATTTAGCGATTCATATATTTGTGTCATATAAAATATTAAAATTTATATGTTCGTGCAATGTTTTACACAATAATTTCGTATTACAATTTGTTATAATACGAAAATATAAAATATATATTTTTATTTTATTAAATTTATATATAATTATTATTAAAATTTTAAATCATATTATTTTTATATATATTTTTTATATCATATTTATATCGTATTATTATATTATATTTTGAATTATCATATTTAATTTTTATGTGTATTACAATTTACATGCATGGTTTATGTTAATAAAAAAAGAAGCTGAAAAGATGTCTATTTGTTTGAGGAGCAAAAGTCAATTTTAATTACTCAAAAATTTCCTCAGATTTTGTGAGCTTTGGAAAACCAAGCACTCTAGAATTCCTCAATTTTCTTGCTTTTTGGTAATGGCAATCAAGTGACAACAAAGTGAAACTGAAATCGAGTTTGAATTTTCCTTCATAAACCCTCTGCATAGAGTCCAATTTTCTCGTAGTTAAGAACTTGGTAAAAAATTGTCTACTAATTTGCTGGCAAATTTAGTACGATGAATTTAATGGGGTTGAGTTCAGTGAGTCAAATGCCAAACTTGGGACCCCAAATTCAGTGAAACCCTCAAATCTAGCCCTCGGTTGGAACCCTTTTTGTCTGTTCCTTGACCTAGGGCTTGCGTCCCAAGCGTGTAACCGTAAATTACTTGTTTAAAAATATGGGTCAAACTCTTCAACCCAAGCTTCTATGCCTCTTTCTACGTGAAACATTAGCCTCCTTAATTACAATCTTGTAAAAGGTGAGCCCTCTTTTGTTGAAAAACAATACAAATCCTTTTCTTGTACCTCATGTCCAAATCCATCTTAAATGGGTTTTCTTTTGTCTTTGGTAGCATTTTATTATTTCCTTTGTCTCATTTTATTTTTTTTAGATATCTTAAAATTATATCTTTTTTAAATATTTAAAATTTTTACTTTTTATATTTAAAATTATATTTAAATTTTTTTACTGTTTAACATTAAAATCTTAAAATTTTAATTCTATAAAAAAATTAAATTTTAATATTAAATACTTAAAATCAAAAAAAAAATTTTAACTTCGTAAAATCAATACATAAGAAACATTTTGAGATGGAAAGAGTAATGTTTAAAATGAACATGATATATTTATTATAATCAGATAATAATTTAAAATTTTGAAATAACAGTAATTTTAGATCATAACAATGATTAAGACATTTTTTTAAGGTAATTTAAATCTCCTTTAGAAGAGGATAAGTTTATTTTTAAATTTTAATTTAATTTTTTATGTATTTTTAAAAAAATTTAATAAAATTAATATTTAAATTTTAATAGTTATAAATCTCACGTTAATAAATTTCATATTGTAAAGACGTGTGGACCCTTTATAATTTGTCTTTCTTTTTTTTTTTTTTTAAATGGTTTTTCATGGACTTATAAATCTCACTTGTCTAAAATTTAGGTATGATTTTGTATATTAAAAAAATGCTTAAGTGCATTTTTGGCCATTTTATTTGAAGTCAAAATCTGGAGGCTCCTATCACAATACTACCTAACTAGCCCTTTCTTCCAGCTATGGAATTTGTACCTATTCGCACTAAAATTTATACAATTATAGGATTTGGAACTTAATTCAACCAATATGACACAATACCAAACCATCATCACTCTTTCAGTTTTACCTCTGAAATAAAAAAAAAAAAATGAAAGTCGAGTGTTTTACATTAATCACCTTCGTCTTAAAAATAATTTGGGTTTAATTGCCCAAATAATTTTATAATTTTTTTCTTTTTTTTTCACTTCTAAAATAATAATAATAATAAATATCATTTTATATAAATTAAATCTGATAATTTAAAATATGATAAAATGATATGATATAAATATGATATAAAAAAATTAAAAAATGATACGATTTAAAATTTTAGCATAATAATTATATATGAGTTTAATAAAATAAAAAAAATTATAATTTCATATCAATAAAAATTATAGCATATAATTTTTATATATAATATGATACAAATACATAAATTTTAATATTTTATATGATATAAATATATAAATCATCATATTTAATATAAATTTAGTGGGATGTAGATATTATCTCACTGACAAATGTACATAGTATATGGGTCAAATTAATTGTCTGAATGCCTGCAATCGCAAAATGCTAAGCATTTTCTCTATTGTAGTTTGTTAAAGAAACAAACATGAATGGCTGACTTTTCCAATTCTATATAAATTCTTAAAGTCAGATTCTTTGCGAGTTAGGTCCTAACCTTGACCCAAAGCTGATGAGAGCTCGTTGATCGGATCTAAACCCTGCAAAAGGCCTGCCAAATTTGTTAAAATCAGGGGAGCAAAATTAAACCAAATTTAATCTTACAATTCATGTTCTAATTAACAATTATTACTTTAGGTAATAAGGATACAAGAATATTTTGGAAGCAAAATTTTAAATATATTATTTAAAAAATTAAATCTAAACAAGACAAAAATATTTATGATCCTTTTATAAAAAAAAAAAAAAGAAGAAAAAAAAGCTGCAATCATGTAGACAACATTAGAAACTAAATAATAGAGCTGATTCTTTTCAGGGACAGCATGGCTACCAAATGCAATCCGTGGTATGGCCATGATGGTCGTTGAATTAAATGAAACTTTGACTTTGTTGTATTGTTTATGCCATGAAGCATCATCAGTATCATCATCTTGCCGTCATGTTGGTATGGTATTACATGTTCATGGAACTAGCCAATCCACCTTATTGCCTCTCTACCTATAAAATGGAATTATATATATATTTATTTTTGTCTTGTAAACTTAATATTAATTATTATAATATAATAAATAATTAATTATGTTCTAGTGAAATTGAGATATTGATTAAGTGGTGTCTTAAAGTTTGGTAAGATCTCGAAATATTATCAATAAATTGTTAAATCAATAATATTATAATCAATTTTGGAGTTAACAATTTTAAATTTGAATCC